ATAAAAAGAAGAAAATAATATCATAAAAAAAATAAAAGGAAAAAATAATATCATCAAAAAAATAAAAGGAAAAAATATGCTTTACTTTTGTCTTCAAAAAAAATTAAAAAGAAGAAAATAATGTCATCAAAAAAATAAATGGAAAAAAAAAAAAGGTAATACAACAAGCATTTCTTACCAAAAAACACACAAAACAATGCAACTTCTTTTTTTTCTTGTACAAAACAAAAAGGTAATAAAACAAGTATTTCTTGTCAAAAAAAATAAAATAAAAGGTATAAAAAATAAAAAGTACTTTGGTAGCATCATTTTCTTATTTTCTTGTAAAAAACTAAAAAGCAATACAACAAGCAAAAACAAAGGTAACACAATATCTTTTTCTTCTTGTCAAAAAAAAATAAAAGGTAATACAAGTAACATATTTTCCCATAAAAAAAAAAAAGGTAATCCAACAAGTATTTTTTGTGAAAAAAATAAAAGGTATTTCTTAATACACCAAATATTTTTTAACACAAACTAGGAATAACTAATCTAATTATAATTTTTATTTTCATAATATGGTAATCTTTAACATAAATTTAGGAATATTAATTTTAAGATAGGATTTATACAATGAGACCCTTTGAAATATCTCTCTGTCTCTACTAACAATCTCTTCCACTAAATTTATTCTAGACTAAAAAATTAAATTTTTGAAAAATTAAAGTGTTATTTCAAAAATTAATATGCATTCTAATAATTTCTACATTGATAACCAAATATTTTATTTTTTTATTAATTTACTTGCATTATAAACCATGTAATGTACTATTTTTCTTACAGTTGTCAATAATAAATTTTAAATTGAATGATATTATAAGATATTTTGAGTTTGTTATTATTTATATAATAAAATAATTATAAAATGTAAACCAACAATTTCAATTTCAGTATATAATATTGTAGTTAGTAAGGTTGCAATACTTTTGGATTATAGTTAGTTGGGTTGTAATAATTTGGGTTTTTTTTTAGCAATCCTTTTTTTCTGCCAATTCGAGATTTTAGTGACTATTTTTTTATCGATTTAATTTATTATTTATTGTAGTCTATGTATGATAATATACTTTATCCATGATAATTCTATTTTTTTTTTTTTATGTGATGCAAATTTAATGGTTAACATAAGTTCATACGGGAAAAGAACACCTCAATATTCTTAAATTGATAAAAAAATGAAAGTTAATAATGTAATACCCGTATTTCTTATTGGATTCATAAAAAACAACATCTATAACGAATTTTAATAATTCTTTTGGATATTTTTTTAAGGCTTAATCAAACCGATTCGGCCGATTCCCGATCCGGATGGTCAATTCACCGGTCCGGATGGGTTTTTGGGGTGCCCGATCAGGGGCACCGATCCGTTTTTTAAACCACTGGTTTCAACCAATGCCTTCAACTGCATAGGATATTTTCAAATAATGCAAGATGTGATAATTATAAAATTTCATATTAAGCAGGCAATGGGTTATTTCAATTCCTTGCTGTTCCTATATCAGATTCCAGACATAAAAAAAATTGAACTGTCAGTAACGATTCCCTGGAGAAGCAGGAGATGAGGTTTCAGTACCAGAGGAACAACATTAATATTTTACTGTGACAAATTTTTTTATTCTTCACACTGCATAAATTTTAAATAGATGTTATCAGCAAGAGGGCACATAAGGGTTTGCCTAAGAATTCAGAGGAGATCAGATGTGAGAACAGTAAAAAAATTAGACACTCAGAAAACAAGATATAGTTGAAGAGTAAAAGAAAATCTTACAGTGTTGAAGGAGAAGAAAAGTGAATTCGAATCCCATTAAGCCTAGTATAAAACCATAGAAGATGTCATCTGAAACAGACTAGGATAGATATGAATTCACTAGACATGCTTGATTCTTACGAAATCCCCAGGCTTTCAGATACAATACTCACTTGTGCCAATACCAACACTTGCCCACAACATAAAAATCCTTATTGCAATATGCATGGATTGGCCACCTGGTTTATTTCTCTTCAGTTTTTCTCAGATCACTTCTCAAAGGAGGGTTACATTATAAATTAAGAGAGTGTAGTTCGACAAAATTCAATCAAGCAACCCAGGGTTTGTGGTCTTTCTTTCTTACTAGGAAGTGACATATAGTTCAGTAATGTAACCAAGTGATGCTCAAAGCATTTTGTAATACTAAAATTCCGACAAACATCATTTTCTAAGGTAATAACTCCCTCGATTAATTTGGTTACTATCACCAATATCTCGAGAATAAAGCTCTTAAAATGGTCGTAAATACCCTTGGTCAGGGACATTAATGAGACTAAAGGAAAGACAGTCCACTAGCAACATGCAAACTGACAAAATCATGCTATTACTCAACTACTACTGCAAATTAATGATTGATGGTACACCTAATTGGGCAATTCACATGAACCTAAAATCAATTTTCTCCCATAAAAGAATATGACCCCACCATTTGGATTTACAGTGCCATCACCTAAAATATGCACTTGAACACCTTCAAACATGGAATGACCCACAACAAATACAATGTGAGAAGCATAACATGCACCATGCATATAGATCTAGATGATAAATCCTAATATGCCACAAGTTATGAAATGTGGACTACTGAACAACAACTCAGCAACATCTGCCTGAAATCCCCCCCTCCCCCCCCCCCCCCCCCCCCAAACCTTCTTGCACACTTGGTGTTAGGACTTCCCAAATAACGGCGCTTCAGAGATCATTAGCAGAATCCAGTCCAATACATGTGAGAAAACCTAAAAAATATTGTCAAAAGAAATGCAGTGAAACATATAGCATTGAGCATCAATACAAACTAATTAGCAAGGTGGTATTCCCAGAGTGACTGTTACCCAAATTTTTGAGTCATGTTATGAATCAAACAGCCAGTTTGTACTTGGCAGTTGTGCAATGTTAAGGAACACTGGATATCCTAAATCTGCTGCTTCAAAAATAAATGCATTCACCCTAGTTTGATCACAAATGTGTGAAATAGCAAAAGTGATTTTCATTCAGCAATGGAAAACATTTGACTGATCCAAGAGAAAAGACTATATCACCACAATGCTCTAGTACCACATGAAAAGCAAATATGCATCAACCATGAGCATATACTAAGTTTCATGAATCAAATGGAATACAGCATCCATAGCATACAGAAAGTTAAATAAACACAACTATAAATATTATGGTCTTTAGAAAATAATGGTTTACAGAATAATGCATAGGGGTTTTGTATGCCAGCCGACCTACGAATTTAAGAGCAATCTCCTAACAAAAGTCAATCTTAGATATGGGTTTGGGATCCAAAACTTCACAGATCGATAATCTCGACCACCACGATCACGAATATGAAAAAGACGATAGTTGAACTTAAAATTATAAACTTGCTTTTGGACAATTTTTTTTTAATAAGTACTATTATATTAATTTGTAAGCAGGAGTACAAAGAAGAACGTATACAAAAAATAAGCTACCCAATTAGTGGGTGCCCTGTACAAAAAACCACAAGGGTCCCAAAAATGCTCTACATCAAAAAAGAAAAGAGGGGGTGCAAGCTTAAAAATGGCTACAGTCCCCGAAGGCTGTTGAGGATTGCTCATTCCTTAGGTAGAGCATCGGCAGCATCATTAGCATCCATAAAAGTGTCTCCATGTATCTCACAAGGTACTGGTGATGAGGGATATTTCATCAAAATTGTGATCTAATCTCGATGGGCAGGGAGCAGCACCGGCAGTCCAAGTAATAATGTTTTTAGAGTCACCTTCAGCAAACAAATCCATGTTCCAGCTAGGGTCGAATCTTTGAAGCCCTTCAAGGCTTCTGCAGTGGTAGAACCCGATGTGCCACTGGGTAAGGAGAAAGAAAGGAGAATAGAACCTTCGGAATTTCTAAAAATGGCTCCAAGGCCAGAGGGGACTGGGTTGCCAAGGGAGCAACGATAAAAATTGAGATTGATTTGCCCATCTTCAGGCAGCTTCCACAAAGAAGCACGTGATATTTTTTGGGCCCAGAAGTTCAAAAGGGTGTGCCAGGTATGAAAAAGGTCAGCAAAAGAGAAATTTCTGAGAATTTTGTGGTTCTTGCTACGAAAAGAGACTAGGGTATCAATCTGGGGGCGTTCTCCTCCCTGAAAATACAACTGTTCCTTTCGAGCCATATAGTCCACAAGATGGCTGCAATCGATGCTCTTCAAGGGAAATAACCATAGCTAGTCCAAGGGGTGTGGAGGCAGGTTGAAAAAAGATGGGGAATCGACTCAGTGGTAACCCAATACCAATTGAACAGGTGGAATACATCGGACCACAGTGCAGATGCTACTTCACATTGAATAAACAGATGGGCATTAATCTTTTCAGCCTTCAAGCATATAGCGCTTCTATTGGGAAGGGAAAGCCCTCTTCTCTGAAGTTGATCAAGAGTGAGGGCTCTTTTGTGGAGGGTAAGTCAGGGGGGGGGGGGGGGGGGGGATAGCAGGGAAACAGGCTTTAGCAACAATAGAGGGAGAACCAGTGGAAGAATTGCCTGGTGGATTGATGGCTTGATAAAAGAAGGCTACTGAGAAATCCCCCAAGGCAACTGGAGACCAAGTAATCTTGTCCTCCTCAGATAGAGGGATAAAGATCTGGGCTAGAATAGATGATAATGCCGAGAAATATCTTATCACGTCATCGGTGACGGGCCTCCTAAAGTTGCTTTAGGACATGTTTTGAACCATTCATATTAATTCCTCTACAACAATCCAGTTTTGAGGTTGCAAATGCTCATTTTCTCATATTCATGATCCTGGTTGTTGACATCATTGACCTATAGAATTTTAGATCCAAAATCTATGTCTAATATGGAATTCTAGAAACGGGGCACATTTGAATAGGGGACCGCAATCAAACGTTTCCCATTATAAAGTCCAATTTGCAGTTACAACATCATCTCAAATAAAGGTAAAAGTATTAATTACCTTTCTTTGCCTGGCCTGAGAAAGAGCGACTTCAAGTTGTCGTTCAAGTTGTTGTAGTTCCTTGACACTCAGAGGTCCAAGGTCTTCCCCAAGCAAATGTCTATGGCACATATATTATCAGAAATTAAACATAATATTAATGATAAGCAATTTCAAACAATAGCAGCAAATAATAGTCACCCCCAAATAGTTGGGATAAGGCTCGGACGATGATGAATTTCAAACAATAGCGACAAGGCAGTAACCTTTGTGATCGTTGTAGAGTCTCATATTTTGCCTTCAATTTTGACAATTCTTGAGACCAATTCTGCATCGATGAATCAAATAGGATTAAGAATAGAACATGCCCTAAGCAACAATCCAAAGGAATCCACATCACACATCTATTAGATAGATTAAGCTGCACTTTTGCAAGAGCATATAGAGCATACACTAGAAAATTATATTAAAAATGCAATCACTAGTTCAAAACAGAAGAAAGGAGTCTGGGAAGCCTAACCAAAATCCATCAATCCAATTTCATATTTATTAATCGCATTAATCAAGATTGAAACTGATATAATACCCATCTTAATATGAAAATTCAGCACTAATAGAACCAAAAATAGAATCAACAAGTAGCATTAGGAATTGAATGATGATTTAAAATATTAAGTATATAAACAATTCCATTCAATCCAAAGGGTCACACAAACAAGAAAATAATAAATTTCCATTATCCCACAAAGAAATTCTAGTCGGCAATCCTGTTCATTCAGTAACATAAACTAGTAGAGATACCTTGATCACAGTGTACAAAGAGACCAGTTAAGTTTATGGATTCCAGATACTATTTTTTTGTCATGTGTCCAATAAATTTGTCCAACCAATAACTCCAACATTTTATGGATTCCAGAAACTTTTTTTTTGTCATGTGTCCAATAATTTGTCCAACCAATAACTTCAACCTTTTATGTTCCTCATTCTGTTTGCTGTGCATACGTCCTCATAGGAACAAAGGGAAAGCAATGAATAAGAGCTGTTCATCCCATTCATACCACCCTTAAAAGAAAACTACTATTCATTCACTGCTTTCACCCTCCAGTTGTAATGGGGGATACCATGGTATAGTAGATATGTCTTAGTAATTTCTTTTCTTCTAGGAACACGGCAAATTCACTTCAACCCAATTTTCTTGACTGGTCCCACCTCAAATTCCACAGAACCAAGGTGCCAAGAAACAGCTCATAACGATGATCACTAATTGGGACCATGGAAGGAAGTTTATGTTACTCAACTTTAGAGATGCAATTTGGATGCTCATATTCTCTAACTGATTTGGGATAATACAGCTATCCAATTCTCCATCGACACATAACTATAGACGAATTGGGCATGATTAACCAATCAAAAGAACCACCAGATTTGTATCCGAATGATAAGTTGATGGATGATCCCTCATTACTTGGGATGAATAAACAGAGTAACCAAAACGATCATCAGTCGAATGTCTGTTTCAAACTATGCCCCATTACATCAAGGGTTCGCAAACATGGAAAGGAAATTCCCTACTGAGACCAATTGGGGGTGGTAGTCCCCAGGTTTGGATCGAAACCCCAAAAGAGCCTAAAAACTTGTCATTGCCAAAACTGAATTCACTCACCAAATGAAACAGTAAAATTGCACAAGCTCAGGTGACTTGTCAATTTTGAAAAAAGTTAAAAAATGAACAAAAGCCTCCATGGAGAGATTCAAATCCAGGTGAAACCAAGTCAACCTACATGCCTACCATCGCACTAAATACCATTTGCAAGCCAAGACAACCCCTAAAATTTTATATAATATATATAAGAAACTCTGGTACATCCTGAGTTTTGCACTTAAAAAGCTCAGCAACTAGCCAAGTTGAGTTGTTGCAGCGAGATTTTCAATGTGGAAAACGAGTTTTTAATTCCTAGTCAAACAAAAATCTGAATATCCAAAGCACCAGAAAATTTACACAAAAATAAAAGAACCAGAAAATCTAAAAATCTTATTATCCTTATTTTTTGTTCTCGGCAGAAATGATTGGAAAATTGTCTAGGTTAGCAAGAACAAACTTAATGATGATTTGAACACCTACGAGTCCTAAAATTATGGTGCTCAAACCCACAGAAAACTTCCTGGGTAAAGGTCTACAAATATTGAAAGTTAAATGGCTTGAAGGAAGAAGAGGAACATCTCACAAACTCTTCAGTGAAACAATGACTGAATGTTACATACGCAACATGAACAGGCAATCACAACTATTTTGAGTCATGTCTTTCCTGAACCATTGATGTCTTTGTTCTATTCTGAATCAGATCCCAGGACCAAGATGAAATGGCAGACATTCAAAATGAATGGAACTTGGAGGAGACAAAGGAAGACCTCAATACTGTCAGGAAGCCTAATAAACACTGAAATGACAACTAAAATCCACAATGCCAAGACAATAATCCTGCCCCCTCTGAAATACAACAGAGGTAACCAAAACACGAAGTACAGAAAATTGTATGGGAAATAGAAGTAAAGCCTTCATCTTTCAAAGTCATTTGAAGCAAAAATTTAAAAATGTTAGATCCACCATATTCAGTAGAGTTCGCACACATGATGTTTATAAAGCATAAGAAACTTTAGAAAAAAAGAAAATCCAACCGTAACTTCAGTCTTCTTATTTTGTTTCGCAGACAACTTCAGAGATGATTCATCGCAAATCACTTAAGACAAGCAGTGACATTGTTCTCAGTGTACAAGGATAGCTTCAATATTTATGGTATCACGGCAAGCTATCACATATTATTGCTAACAGCCATCAATGCAAGTATGCCAATGGAACTCATGAATGTCTTGTTGCTGAAATTCATCACAAATATAGCATCACCATGTCATTCACTGCATACAATTTGTTATCGCTAGAACAAATTCATTAGCTCCATAAACTCTTCTAGATCCTTTAGGCTGACTAACCTATTTGTACTGTTCTCAGCAGTCTAAGCCACCAAATTACTGAATCAAATAACATGATGGGCAACACCAACAATTTGCCAACTCTAATGGAACCTCTTAAATTTGTATTTTTATGAAAGTAAAAAATCTATCTCAAAATTAGGAACTCATTCATGTAAAATGACTAACTCATTTGACCTTTTTTTTTTTTGAAGTACTGATTCATTTGACATTTTTGAAGTTCAACCGCTATCAGTTAATTTCATTTCTCAGTGTCAATGAGAAAAAAAGGTGATTCAGTATTTCCCATCACAGTAAAGCTATGAATGATTTTGACAAGTTGCCCAATCAGTAAATGCCACCAAAAATGTGATATGCCAGAACTCTGATGTTTCTCTGACCGAAACATCCCTCACATTGAAACGGCAACAGAACATGGTCAAGGAAATGCAAATTACAAAATCCTCAATTGATTGTGAATGCTGTAATACAGAATCTTGTAATCATTCTCAAATGTAATTCAATAAAGCTCAAGGTTTATTTGACATTGAAGGTTCAAATGTACAGAGGCCCGAAATTGATCACAATCCAATATCAGATAATATTAGACTATGAATAAATTCTGAAGGTAAAAGAACATAAAACTATTGCCGCCTAGCTCTGAAAGCTTATCCCATTTTAAGATTTTGTTTTTTTAGACTGCCTACAACTCGACATGACACACAAACCAGGATTTTTAAACTATAAGGTGAGACATGTCTTAGATGTAAAGGCATTACTCACATGGGTATCCCTTTTATCAACAGAAGACAACACATAAAATCGAAAAACAAAATAGAATAAAAATTGCAACGTTTTGGGTTGACACACCTCTTGCTACAGTAGATCTCATATCCTTTATGTCATTAACCCTAAAAAAGGGGCTAATATTCCATATTGTGGTTGGTTAGGCTTTTTGTAACGCTCCCTATCTTATTTCAAATATTTGAAATCCTAAGTTTCTTTGTCAATGCTTCTCTTTGAAAATGAGATGATGCTATAATATTCATGCAAAATTCATTTTTATCTCATATAGAATGACACTTGCGGAAAGTATACAATTAAATAGAGAGCCAGTCTATTTGCAATTGGGCTTATAGATTCTTCTATTTTATTCGGAATCTTTTGCTAGCAAAATGTGACATGCAATCATTTCTGGTGAACACTTTAAACTCATCCAAAATCCTATTTCAAACAGATATAGCATTTACAAGCTCATAACCCCATTGCTTAAAAGTCACTCTGAAGAAATACCTGTGTTTCACGATCAGTGGCACTATTGTCTTGTGGGGTGTAACAACACCTCTGGTACCTCTCGAGGGTTTTGCTCAGACTGAAAATACGACATTGCAGTATTGGCATCATGTACAAAAAGACTAAATTTGTCCACATCCCCATATCAATTACAATACAGTAGTGTTAGAAATTAAAACACAAATTCCACCAGCTTTCCACTTTCTTCCCCTTTTTGACTGCCAACTTTCCATTGAAATGCATGTTCACAAATAAACAAAGAATGAAGCTTGTGTTTCCACTTGTTTCCATTAAATACAACCAAGAGAATCCATTTTAAAGTCCTCTAGAACATAACAAAT